AAATAGGCATAGACGGGGCTTACCTAAAAATGATACAAGCCATATGCTAAACCCATAGCCAATATCATACTGAATGGGGAAAAATTGAAAGCATTCCTACTTAGAACTAGAACAAGACAAGGTTGCCCACTATCTTTACTTCTGTTCAACATAGTCGTGAAAGTCCTCATTACAACAATCAGACAAGAGATTGGAATTAAGGGCGTCCAAATGGGAGCAGAAGAGATCAAACTCTCACTCTTCACTGATCACATGATATTATACCTAGAAAACCCCAAGAATTCAACCAAGGGACTCCTTAAATTAATAAATGAATTTGGTAAAGTCTCAGGATACAATATACAGAATTCAGGGTTCAATATACAGAAATTAGAGGAATTCATATACATCAACAATAGTAAAAGTGAGAACCAAATCAAAGACTCAATTCCCTTCCAAATGGCAACAAAGAAAATAAAGTACCTTGGAATATACTTAACTAAGGAGGTAAAAGACCTCTACAGGGAGAGCTATGAAACACTGAAGAAGGAAACAGCAGAGGATATAAACAGATGTTAAGAATATACCACGCTCATGGGTCGGCAGAATCAACATTGTTAAAATGTCTATACTACCCAAAGTGACCTACAGAGCCAATGCAATCCCTATCAAAATATCATCATCATTTTTCACAGATATAGAAAAAATAATTTTACACTTCGTATGGAACCAGAGAAGACCCTGTATAGCAAGATCAATCCTAGGCAATAAAAACAAAATAGGAGGTATCAATTTACCAGACTTCAAAATATACTACAAGGCTATAGTCATTAAAACAGCTTTTTATTGGCACAAGAACAGGGACATTGACCAGTGGAACAGAACAGAGAACTCAGATATAAAACCATCCTCATATAGCCAACTAATCTTCGACAATGCAGACAAAAACATACACTGGGGAAAAAAATCCTTATTCAATAAGGATTGTTAATAAGTGTTAAGGTTACATATATTGCCCTCACTCCCGCCCCCCTCGAGTAAGAACTTCAAATCGTGCTGGGAAAACTCGATAGCCACGTGTAGAAGACTGAAACAAGACTCACACCTTTCACCTCTCACAAAAATCAACACACGCTGGGTAACAGACTTGAATCTTAGGTGTGAAACTATTAGAATTCTAGAGGAATATGTTGGAAATACATACCCTTCTGGACATTGGCCTAGGCAAAGAATTTATGAAGAAGACCCCAAAGGCAATCACAACACCAACAAAAATAAACAAATGGGACCTGATCAAATTAAAAAGCTTCTGCACAGCCAAAAAAACTGTCAAGAGTGCAAACAGACAACCCACAGAATGGAAGAAAATTTCTGCAAGCTACACATCTGATAAAGGGCTGATAACTAGAATCTATTTAGCACTCAAGAAAATCAGCCAGAAAAAAATCAAACACCCCTATCAAAAAATGGGCAAAGGACATGAACAGAAACTTCTGAAAAGAAGACAGAATAATGGCCAACAAACATATGAAAAAATGTCCAACATCTCTAATCATCAGGGAAATGCAAATCAAAACCGCAATGAAATATCACTTAACTCCAGTGAAAATGGCCTTTATCAAAAAGTCCCTGAACAACAAATGCTGGTATGGATGCGGAGAGAGAGGAACACTGCTACACTACTGGTGGGACTGCAAACTAGTCAATCTCTGTGGAAAGCAATATGGAGATACCTCAAAGCGATACAAGTAGATCTACCATTTGATCCAGCAATTCCACTAGTTGGCGTCTATCCAAAAGATCAAAAGTCATTTTATGAAAAAGACACCTGCACTCGAATGTTTATAGCAGCACAATTCACAATTGCAAAGCTGTGGAAACAGCCCCAGTGTCCATCAATTCATGAGAGGATTAGTAAAATGTGGTATATGTATACCATGGAGTACTACTCAGCTTTAAGAAACAACTGTGATCTAGCACCTCTTGTATATTCCTAGATAGAGCTGGACCCCATTCTACTAAGTGAAGT